CGGTCGGCCACTCCAAACACACATTTGGGGCTCAATGTAGTCGTCGTAAGCATTTGCACGGGGACCAATACAAATCCAGGTAGGAGTACCGACAAAGACACCGGAGAATTCCCAATCCGAAGGGTGAAAGGACATAGAAAGCGAACGTCGCCCGAGGATATCGGAACGCAGACAAGAAGGTAACGTCACTGACCTATCTCAGTGAACATAAATCAAAGACCTGAAACACATTTTCGCTTAAGGAGATTTACTTAAATGGGATTTTACTATCTACAGTGTGTCCCAAAAATATATACCCATCTTACATAATTGCAAAATTGGTGTTCATCATAATTTTATTATAAAAAAGTAAACATATTTACAGGTATCATTTTATTATTATTTTCACTGAATGTTCTCAAACTGACGCCCATTTTGATCATGACACTGCTGACAACGCGAAGCAATGGAATCGTACACACCATGAACAAATCCCTTGGTATTCGGGTGCATTCATGTTCAATGGCTTTTCTCAATTCGACCACTGTTGCAATAGTCAAAATGCAGTGAAAAAAAAATCAATAAAATGATGCTTGTAACTATTTTTACTTTTTTGAAATAATAAAATTATAATAAACACCAAGTTTACAATGATTTGAAATGTGTATACATTTTTTGGACACCTTGTATTATATTTCAGTATAATCCTAAGCTATTCGTACACACGTCAGCATACCGGATTTTGAATGCAGCTACACCTCTCGTTAACCGAACCATAACAGTGAGTACATTCTCGGCACAGTGGAACAATTGCTGCCAGTCACTTCTTACCTGCTTACACTTCCCCTATCAGACTAAAGGACTGTCCTACTATGCAACCTCGACTCTAGTCGATTTTTTGAATTTACCGCTGTACGCCAACTGATAGTGCTTCTCGATTTGATTGGAATATTTACCACTTTTCCCTGGAGGCTTTCAGTCATTTATGGTTACTCAAAATGAGACCTATGAGACGAGAGGCAGCAAGGAAGATCCCGCACCTCCTAAACGTACTGAAAGGCATAGCTGACGATTATGTAGTTATTACCTACTGTAGGGCATGAAATGGTTTAACGTTTTATCAGAATTAGAGAAAACTAGTCAGTATGGCCCAGAATAACAAACCTTCAGCAATTAATATGATTAGAAGTAAAGACCAGTGTGCACATAATCTCAGCTTGAAACAGTAGAACAGATGACGAAATCGGTAGGTCAATACACTTTCACCCTTCATGCTTTGCAATTTCCCCCCTTACTCACCTCCATATTCCGACAGTTCGACCGTCGGTTTCGACTAGGTCCACCGTGTACCCTACAGGAAAGTGGCACAGGGGCGGTAAATTGTGTGTGGACTAGACTACGAGAGCAGATGCGCTGCATTTACTGCTGCACTACTTCGCCCTCCACCTGAGCCCGCATTCATGACCAAATCAAAAAGACCAGAGGCGGGAGTGCGCGCAGGTAGTTGGTATGACCGGGACCGCCCCTAGGTGTGCCGCCACTCCTGATTCAGTCCCCGCGGAGGGACCTGGAAAGTTGCCAACCGACGGGATAACTACAACCGCGCAGTCAGCCCAGTATATTTGTGTAAGTAGCCGACTGGTGTACTGAGAGTCAGGGCTGCAATAATAACCACTCTCTGTACGGCTTCAATGACAACCATTGCTAAATGGCGTATAGGACGTCAGCAATTATTGCCCAGAATCGCAGCTTCCGTACTATCGCAAGCAGACACGGGACCCGGCGGTAGCGTAGGTGATCGAATACCCGCACGCGCAACAAAAATGGGCATTTTGTGATCTATAGGATAAGGGCAGGAATACTTTGCTAATTGCATGCATAAATTAATAAATGGGCTAGCCTGCACATTTTCGTCTCCAGTATCCACATGTATTACTTAACGTTAACGTCCCCATCG